ATCCCCAGATTTTCCCTGAAATTCCCAAATTTCTCCCCAAAATTCCCCCCACAAATCCCAGATTTCTCCCCAGAATTCCCGATTTTTCCCCCAAATTCCTGAATTTTTCCCCCAAATTTCTGATATTTTTTCCCCAAATTCCCAGATTTCTCCCCAAAATTCTTGAATTTCTCCCCAAATTCCGACATTTCCCCCCAAATTCCCACATTTCTCCCCAAATTCCCAGATTTTTCCCAAAATTCCCGAATTTCTCCCCAAATTCCCGGATTTCTCCCCAAAATTCCCACATTTCCCCCCAAATCCCCGAATTTCTCCCCAAATTCCCCAATTTCCCCCGAAATTCCCGGATTTTTCCCGAAATTCCCGAATTTCCCCCCAAATTCCCCAATTTCTCCCCAAAATTCCCGGATTTCCCCCCAAATTCCCGAATTTCCCCCCAAAATTCCCGGATTTCCCCCAAATTCCCGGATTTTTCCCAAAATTCCCGGATTTCTCCCCAAATCCCAGGAGGCTGCCTGGGCCGTGGCCGACGAGTGCATCCAGATCATGGGGGGGATGGGCTTCATGCAGGTGAGATTTGGGGCCAATTCCCAAAATTTTGGGTTTTTTGGGGATTTTGGGAATTCTGGAATTTGGGGCTCGGGAATTGTCGGAATTTCGGGGGAAATTCCCGGGATTTTGGGGGTTTTTTCCCTGATTTTTGGGGTTTTTCCCCCCTTTTTTCCCCCATTTGGGTGGTTTTTTTCCCCCCCAATTTTTGGGGCCAAATCCCAAAATTTTGGGGCTTTTTTGGGATTTTGTGGATTCTGGAATTTGGGGGTCGGGAATTGTTGGAATTTCGGGGAAAATTCCCGGGATTTTGGGGTTTTTTTCCTGATTTTTGGGGTTTTTTGCCCATTTTTTGGGTTTTTTTTGGGGATTTTTGATGATTGTGGTGGGAATGTTTGGAACGTTTTGGGAATTTTGGGAATTTTGGGATTTCTGTGGGAACATTTTGGGAATGTTGGGATTTTTGGGGATGTTGGGAATATTTTGGGAACAATTTGGGAATTTTGGGACTTTTATGGGAATATTTTGGGAATATTTTGGGAACATTTCGAGAATTTGGGGATTTTTATGGGAATCTTGGGAATATTTTGGGAACATTTTGGGAATTTTGGGATTTGGGGGATTTTTATGGAAATATTTTGGGAATTTTGGGAACATTTTGGGAATGTTGGGAATGTTGGGAATTTTTGATGATTTCGGTGGGAATTTTGGGGATTTTTTTCCGGGAATGTTGGGAACTTGGGGATTTCTGTGGGAATATTTTGGGAATTTTGGGGATTTTTGGG